AGAATACGAATCGAAGCAATGCTCGTATGCCGTATTTACATGTACATACAATTTTTACCATAAAACTGTAATGCATGCGCCTCTAAATGCGAATCGAAGAGTTCTGTTCGAGTAATGCACGCAAGCGTAGTCGTACCAATATAATGTCATTCATGCAAACTTTAATGCATGCGACTTCTAAAAGCGAATCGAAGTGTTCTGTTTGAGTAATGCACGTTAGACGTAGACCGATAAAAAGTTAATGCATGCGTCTGTTATCCGAATCGTAACATAACTAATGCACGTAAACGTAACTTTAGACGTAGATGTGGCCGTAACAAATTCTTAATCTCCACTCACTCTTTACGTCTTCTTCTTTCAGAAGTCTTTCCAGTTCTGAGCTCAATCTTTTGAAAGAGCAACTTTCGAGGGACAGGGAAGTTACTTCCACCCTGACAGACACCCTGACTGTTCAGACTTCCATTCATAGAAGCATTACTCACGACGGAGTCACCCCCTTCACATCCTCCCCTAATTTTATACCTCCTTCCCTAACCTTCCAATCCAATAGACTCACTGCCGATCGCCACTCTTGCTATTCCTCGGGATCTCGCAGTGCTTCATCATCTCGTGCTCACACACCGGAAATAGAACGTCAAGTTACCGGAAGTACCTTCCACTCACCAAACCCCACCATTCCAACCCGAATTCCCTCCGATTCCAATAATCCTAGACCTAAGACTTTGACGAAGAGTAACTCTTTGGAGACTCCACAGACCATGGCGACACCTACCGTGACAACGTCTTCCATATCACTGACTACTACTCCGACCACACCGACGCCAAATCCTGCCCAGAGGACGTACAAAGCCTACACACGATCCCGCAGTGATGACAATGTCCTCAACACACCGACACCAAACTTCAATCGACTGACCCCGAGATCAGCGAGAAGAAAGTTCTTTGAGACCCAGCCTCCACCTTCTCAAGGTTTCGGCTTTCTTTCGTACCCGGATTACAGACAACCATTGATGTATCACCAAAAGCAGACGGGTTCTTCAGCAGGAGACCAATGTGACGTCACTCAGACGTCATCGTCATCGTCACAGATGAAGACGTCTGCGTCAGTTGACGAGCGACTTCACCATCGGGAGCCTAGTAGCTCCGACAACTTGGACGCAGCTATAAGACCGAAAACCGTACCCGAAGAAGCAGAGCTCGAACAGGCTCAGGCCAAGTCACAAACAGCAAAGGAGAAGCGAAAGTTTTTCAAGAAGTCGAGCAGTTTGGATTCGACAGTTGGTTCATCCATTGCTAAGATCGGCATGCAGGCTATTCCACCAGCTGCACCAACTGGTTTCACCCCTACGGATTTTTTCTCCACAATTAAAGAGAAGCTGAAAGGCCGGAAATCGAAAGACAACCAGAAATCCAAGGCAGATGCCGGACCAAGCGACGAATCATCCATACCAGACACTTCATCCAACCCACCCGAATCATTCCAGGACGAATCGTCCCATTCTCTTGACGAAACACACCCAGATTCAGAGGATTCGGTAAGTGATGATCTTTTCATTTTTTCAACTACTAACTAAGTTACCGCATACTTCATCACAATCAGCCCTGGCACCGTTCCTCAAAATTTCTTAGATCAATTCTCTTCGTAGGTCCAAGTGTGCTAAATTCCACATTTACAAGAAAGGTTTTTCGTATTTTTTGTAGGATATAAAGCGTCCCGAAGGCTAAGACTATCTTTGGACATGAAAGTTAGTGTAAATGTCTTCTTCCTTCTTTTTCAGGCTTCTCGAAGATCTTTAATGCCAGTCGGAAGTGACCCAAAGAGATGGAGATCTAAATCAGCAGACAGGTCACAGCGAGTAGCCAAGCCTGTCATGATTCACTCGGATGTCATAACCCCTATACAGGTGTGGCAATTTAGTGAAACTGCGGTATAGGGAGGATTCGCGAGGCACATCTTACCGAAACCCTGAATAGACCCACCTCGTAGTGGCATTCTGACCTAGTCTCAATCTTCAAGTTCAATGCAGTCTTGATTATCAAGATCATCATCTGGAATATCTACTTCAGAAAGGTTTTATCAATCCTCTACCTTATGACAATAATTTTTTAAGATGTTTAACCCTCCATCCGTCCACAAGTGTGCGTATACGTGCATCATATTGTGCCGTCCATAGTCAAGGCGCCCTTATAGAAAATCCTTAAAACCAAATATTTGTTGTCATTTGTGATACTCTGTGTGCAATATTCTCATCTGTTTCCTAATATACATTTAGTGTTTCTTAGTGTATCCTGTGCTAAGTGTGCGTATATCATTTTTATCGGATTGGCTGTTATAGGAGATTCTCTTTTAAGAGGCACTGGCCTCCAGGATGCTGATGTCAATTTCAGTGTTTAAGAACCAATTTAGTCATTGCTTTGCTAAGGATCAGTACACCAAAGCTGTATTTTGTTTGATTTGCTGCAATGTATGTGCTATGCAAAGTCGAAATATCAAACCTACCTACATGTCTTCAGTGTTTATTGCATTTTGAAATATTCAAGTATTGGAATTAATTATTAGTATTGAGGTCGATTTAGAAAAGTTACCTCTTACCTATTATTGAACACAATTCTTGTGTTCTCCTAAAATCTTACCATGGAATTTTGTCCTGAGATATATTCTTCCCTCTATCCTCTCTATACAGTTTCATCATAAAAATTCCCCCGAGCAACAGAACAAGGTTTTTTTGTTTCTCTGAATGTTAGGAGTCTTTTATTGTGTGTTATGTTTTTGATATTTATATATTTATATAAAGAGTTACCCCCCTTATTGAATTTTAAATTATCAGCCGCTACCCTTCTTTACCGATGAAATTAACATTTGTTTTTTGATTTGAAATTCTTTAAATTTCGATTCACTTTTTAAGGCAATTATGATGGAAATCCGGCTGAAATTTCGATTTGATTTGAAAATTTAAATCGAAGGGGAATAACTCTTGCAATACCATGTAACTTTTGAAGGAGGTGTACTTAACTTTGTAAGATTGTAAATAATGGCAGTTTGGATGAGATGCACATATCCTCTCCTTATTCGAAACATCGTGTTGACTTAAATATCATCATTCGATCTTCATGTTTGGTGTGGCCACAACAGTTGACTTTTTCAATCGAGCGTAGAGTTTCAGACGGGAGAGGATGAGTGCGTTGTTACGTAAGTTGTGGGTTCGAATCTGTTAATGAAGATTGTATATAGTAATTGATGTATAATTACGAGTGAGTTTGTATATTGTGAATATTATTTATTTGTTGTGGTAGTACAAAACAGGTATAGTTCGTAACCTCAACGAAATGAAATCAACCAATCCTAAAAGGTGGCCATATCGCTCACGGACCTTTACGTGCCTTATAGAGGTGGATTATTCCTTTATCTTTGACATATGCACATTTGTAGATGTTTTTAAAAATCCTTTACTGATTTACTTCACATAGATCATTGTAGCTCCCATAACAAAATATTTCTGTTATTCTGGAAAGGTTCCTTTACGATCATGAATCGATTAATTTTATTTTTAACTATGCAAAAATGTTCTGAAGCGTAGCGTAATATTGTATAGATTCTTTACAACAAGACAATTGGAAATGATTAAATATTTAAACAACTATGTGTTTGTATTGTCGTTAGCGAGTCACAGCTGATAAATGGGACTTACAGATCCACGAAGTCCCGAATTCGCCACCTCAAGGAAAGAAAATTCCATGTATGTGATCTGGTTGATTGTGAAACAACTCCTTGTGTTTGTTATATTTTGTATTGGTGGAGGCTTTACTATCATTTAATTTCCTCAAATGATTCTATGTTTTAATTTGTATAGGATGAAAATGAAATTATGTCTCATTACGAAGACGCGAATTCATAACAAAAGCTTCAGTTATGGAAGAAATGAAGGTGAGTGTGTTATTTAGGCCACATAATTATGTGCACGTGCATTTTGTTACGATCATTGCAATCCATTGCTTATTGTGGCTAGAGTCCTTAAAAATTGCAGATGGAAAAATCTTTTTCTGCACAGTCACCTTATCACATAGTTTTGTGGTTAGGCATATTTAGGTCAATCTCGACTTTACACGTGCATAAAACACATAGAATAAAGTTCAACATTAATGTTTTAGAAAGGTTTAATATAACAATAATTTTAACTATGGACGGATTTAACAATGATAGAAATATGGACGGGAATTGTCAAAAATATTGATAACAAATAACAGCCTAAAGAATACTAAAAAGAGTACTTTTTGGGATAGAACAAGGCACAGTCAATATCGAGATTAATAAAGATAGATAATTTAAATGTTGCACGTACGAGTATCCAAAATTCGACCTTTTTATAAAAGTATGATAACATGTAAATATTAAAATGGTTAATAAAAATAGACACTTCAGCAAAGACTGATTAAGTGAAATTAGAATGCACGTACGAATATCAACGTCGACTCTTGTAGTAAGTAAGATAGCATATTGATTTTGCAAATATTGGCTACTTTCTTATAAGTATAAGATTGTACGTGCGTTTGTTTTCGATGTCGACTCTTTGACAAATAGATTGTGCGTACATTGCACAGAAGAAGATAGACAGGGCACTTTTATCGTCGACTTAAAAAAGAAAAAAACAGTATAAGAATACTAAAGTAAAATATAACGATGGCACTTTAGTACTATGTCCGTTTTCCACGAATGGATAAATTAGCCAGGGAGCCAAATTTATCTCTGTACGTTAACATTAAGAATTTTGCAGCATGAAATCGCCATGTCTTGAAAGAAAAGTGTACTAGCAATGAAATCTGATTGACGGTCTGCCTTGTCAAGCTCAAAAAGTCGAAAGCTTTGCCCCTTTTTCGTGAGTGAAATGAAAGACGTAAGCCTGATTTAATAAATCGTAATAAAATTTAAAATGAAGATCAACTTTCGCTGTTTAAAGGACCATCTCATGGAAAACGGCAAGACCATAAACCCGACAGGAGAACTAGAAAGAATAGTTATAAGGCGGAGGTGGGGACCAAGGAGCATCCGGGTTGGCTGTATAGGACGCATTAGGGGCTGATGGTTGGTTGCCTGAATTATTCGGATTCCAATTCGGGTCAGCAGGTTTAGAACAGAGTGGGACTTTACTGTTGGATCCGTTCAGGTCAATGGACGAGTAGCGAGGAGGGTCGGAGAATTCCAAATTTGAAGGCGAGATCGGACCAGCTGATCGATTCGAATCTGGTGGTGATGACATACCATTTGGTCTGCCTTGATTTGACGGTTGTCTTGGTGGACCCAGTGACGAATAGGACGGTGGAGGATTAAATCCATTAGCAGTTTGTAAAGGAGTATTGTTGAATTGTACCGTACCGGACTGAACGTGGAACACACCCTGCATGTTCGGCCGAGGGATCGTTGGTTGAGTTTGATTGAACAGTCTCGTCGTACTGGTGTGTTGATGCGTCTGTCCGAATAATCCTCCTCGGTTTCCGAAACGGAACGTCGTCGATGGTTTGATACTTCGATTCTTAATCCCTTTGTTTAAACAGCAGCAACAAATGGCGCCGATTACCAGCGTCCCAGCACCAATACTTCCAATGGTTGCTCCCAACGTTGCGTCGCTTCCATGTCCTGTACAGAAACGACAAACAAGTTGGCATTGGATCATTAAGGTACGAACACCCCTCTCCCAGGAATATAACCCGAAGTTTTATAATGCCTGACCAACTTATGGAAAGTAGGCTACTACAGTGAACCACTCTCTAGAATATAATTAGTTGGATGATGTCTGGTGTTTCTATAAACTACACGTATAATAGTATAACATTCTCTGTTGAAATAAACATGCATTTTTGACAAAATATTTAAAAAAATGTGCGCTCTTAGTTCAAAGCTTCTGGGTTGTTCACTCACCTGCGGATGGCGACGTAGCAGACGCATATTTGGCGGCAAAACCACGGAAATGATTCTGTTGGTTCGAGGTAAATGTGACAAACATATAACGACCGGAGCTGTAAAAGGTCGGCGATTCATCTACTCCACAAAGGTTGGCCATCTCGGTTGCGTTGGCATCCTCACCTGGAAGGACAGATGGTTTGAAATCAGAAAAATGGTAAATGAACCAATCAGACTGACAACAATAAAATAGCACCCTTGTCCGTGCTAATGCTGCTGTCCTGGCAAAATTTCACTCATGGCAAACAGCATGCCGCTGTCCGTCCTATAGCCAAATCCCAATGACCTGGAAAGGGAAGGGGATGGGACTGCTGACTTACCATCGTATACGGTGATGTAATCCAAACGACAATTGAGGTCTTCCTCAATGTGCAGTAAAGTTATGTGGAGATTCACGACCTTGGAACTCTCCTCTGTTTTAATCTGCCAGGAGCAAAACTGGTCACTGAAATCAGAATTCAAAATTGGCCGTGACAATCAAAATGGCTTCGGCTATATCAATATTATTGTGACCTACTTAAGATATACATGTATATTTCAGTATGAGTTATTTCCCTTATAGTGAATATTCATTTTATGTCAATATTGTTGTGACCTAGTTTCGAAATATAAACATGCTTAACTTTTCAAGTACGAGTTATTTCCCTTGAAGTGATGCCAAAATCAAAATATTATTGTGACCTACTTTAGATGTATACAAGATAAATTTTGGTATGAGTTATTTCCCTTGGGGTGAAAATCAATTCAGATAATTAATTTGACGGTGTTCTCTTGCCTGATGGGCATGACTATCTTGAGTGATATTTAATACTGAAGAATTATTAATTGGATAAAATTATCAGATTAACTATTTCGACGATGATATTTTCAACATCATTGCTAGAAATTTCCAGTAAGAGTAAGATTATTGAACGTTGTATAGCGCTCATTACTGTTCTGTTGTGGACATTGTCCGACATTCGTTGGTAAATGATGGACACAGCTTATACCCCGACCCGAAGTTAACAGAACATCCGAGGACCACCCACATATTTAAATTGTCATACTTACTCGTAATAAGTATAATTGGGGTGTTTGGTGCTGCCTGGTGAATAGAAATAATTCACAATACCAAATCTACCAGCAGTTAAATATTCAACACCATCGTGTGATTCACATTCACAATCTGGAAATAGAACGATCATGTAGTAACAGGCCACATACATTTTCAAAGGGGGCTAGAAGGCTGTTACCTTGTGTATAATAATGGTGACATTTGAAAGGGGGGCAAAGCCGGGACAGCTTTTAATCACGAAGTGAAGTGGGAATAGAAACGCCAGATAACGCCCCGACATCCAGGTACACATTTGTATTTACTGATGACAAATCGGATTTCAGATTGTCATCCTGAAAAGTGATACGAATAAGACTGGACTGTCTTAGTCTATTTTATATAATACTACCTATATTTGGTATAAAAATCAGCAGTATTCCCAGGATCTGAGAGACCCAAGATAGTCTCCAATCTTTCATTGTAGTTGTTTTGAGAGTATTAATATCTTCTTGGTAATAGTTACATGTCTTCTTCGATTGGCATCTGAAATACAACAGAATATATTTTAAGATGTGCCGTCCGATCGGACAGACTTGGTTTATGTCCCAATTGACTGAGGGCAGACATCAATACGTATATGCCTACCAGCATCTGATTTATTTTAAGATGGACTGTCCCACCAGACAGACTTTACAGTCCAAAACAGTTTGAACTAGCCAATCAAATCAAACCTTGCCCTTCTCGTTCTTCGGTCATGGTCCGTGTATCTCTTCCAAGGAACCGGAAGAACCAGATTTGTCGGCCTTGGTTTTCAACCCCCTTCCTGCCCCCTTACAGTTGCGGGCCTGAATTCATAGTGTAGCAATAAAAGAACACAACAGGGGTCCAGTTAAATCGAGTGCGTGCTATAATTAATATTTGTGTAGCAGCTAGATATAAAGGAATGGATACTGTGTATGCACCCAATCAATGGTTTTGAACTAAGAACTTATTAGATATAAATACAATAACCTACTCAATGAACTAGTACTGTACACAAACCATACATTATGCATAATTTATATTGAAAAATGTTTCCATCACAATGAAAAACAGAATAAAAGGTTTGTAAAAACGTAGGCCAATTAAGACTTGTAAATAAGTGCATGTTTTATCATGGTGTATAGCGTTATCGGTTCATGGTAAAGATTGCATGACATAGAACAACATCCAGAAATAACCGTGTCTCTTATAGTCAAAGATCACAAAATTCTATGAATGCCTTCTGCAGTAAATCGATACGACGAGAGTTATATTTTTAATATTTAATGGTCATCGATTTATGATACGACTTTTGTCTTGTTGCATTCCTATGGAATATGTCCACCGATGTGGAAACTTTCAAGATACTTTTGATATTATTGAACAGTGCGTTTAACAAGGTTCATTTCATCAGAATATAATATGAACTGTTTTACGATGACAACATCTCAAGTTATACTTCATAAGCTTTTAACAATCATACTTAGCTGTTATTTGTCATTCCACACTTGTACCAGAATGTAGAAAATAAATATCCACTTCATATTGTTTTTGAGAGCAAAACAACTCTGGTTATAAGTCTATGAAGACGGTTACAGCGTTAATTTCTTTACATGACGTCATTTGCTTGGTTACGCCGAACAAAATCTGTTCGTTGGTTCTAATTTCGGTTGGCGCCCGAGTCATCTTTCCTCATGATACCAGTTAGATAGTCAAAAGACTTCGCCAAGGATTAGCTGGTAGACATGATCCTCGTGAATCTAAGTTGTTATCATCGCAAAATTTTCTGACAAGCACTAGCTGATAGACATGATCCTCATGAACCCAAGTTCTTATCATTGTGAAAGTTTTGGCAAGGACTAGCTAGTAGGCATGGTCCTCGTGAATCTAAGTTGTTATCATCGCAAAATTTTCTGACAAGCACTAGCTGATAGACATGTTCTTCATGACCTAAGCTCTTATCATTGTGAAAGTTTTGACAAGGACTAGCTGATAGACATGATCCTCATGACCTAAGTTCTTATATTCGTAAAAAAAATGTTATTTCTTCTTTTCAATCTATAACTGTGTTTTAAGATGATATGAAATCAATAAAACTGTAGGAATTTTAAACTGTGTATTGTGAGACATGGCCCATTGTTCTTATAGGATATTGAAACAATGGACCGACTCGATCCCTCGATCAATATACATATATACAGATTGAGTTCCTAAAGCTTGGGGAGACGGAGGGGAGGGGAGGGGGCAGAGAGTAATTGAATCGAATCTATGGATGGAGGTTATAGTTACAATGGACCGACTCGATTTCTCGTTCACTATACTGGATTCTGGATCTGCTAAGATGCTGTTGCGCCAGCATGAGAGAATAGCTATCCTGGATCAGTCAGGACTTTTTCATATTGTTTCTTCCTTGAATTCGTCTCAGTGATTGTCCTTCTGTGGCCCATATACATATATACGAGTCAATTGCGTGATAATTTTACCATTCCTTGACGTTCATCTGGGTTATTTGATCGTGGTGAATTAAACCAAACATAACATTTTAGTTTACCAATTTTCTTGGTTTTTTGTTTACTGAATTTCTATAGCTGAGAATAATCATGGAACAGTATTACTTATACTTCCTTTGCCCTTCCCCCATTTTGAAAAATTCCAATCACCTTTTAAACCGCCATTCTTTGACGTTGTGTCTGTTGCCCCCTGAGCTCTGGATTTTGAGTTTTGATCTACGATAAGGACTGTCGTATGATTATTACGAGTTAATCTATATGTATGTACATAACTCACCTTTACCGTTTGTCCGGTATCCGTAAATATTATTCTAGGAATGGCTTCCCTCTCTGAAGTTGTTAAGGTATTGATTGACAAGGTACTGCAGCCTACCTGTTCCAATACTGCTAGCCGACTCTTAGTGGCGAACAATCAAGCTAGAGAAATCCATTGATCGGTGCTTTGGAACCTGTTTGATTCGTACATAGCTTGATCAGGTTAGAAACTGTAAGGCAGGATCAGAAAGTTATTATTAGGTTCTTGTGCTGTGAATAATAAAATCTGTTGATATTATGTATATTTAAAAGAAACTTTAACTAGAGTCTGTCAGGCATTTTATTTTTTCATCTATGCTTTTCAAATTACAATGTACATCACATTGCATCTGATTCATAAGAACGGTAACCTTATCCGGATCAGATTGTTGATCAATCAAACAGACCATGATTAAGAGGCGTGTTGTCGTGCAATAACAATCTTGAGACAAAAGGTTGTTAAAGGTACCAATGATGGTTGGGACGTCCGATAAATCTTTGAAGCCGGGGGCGTTACGTTTCATCAATACGTGCCAGATAGGTTGAACGAGGATTGGATGACAAGCTCTTAGCCTAAAGGGTATCTCAATCGGATTAAAGGGGCAATAACTAAATAGAGAAATAAATAAATAATATTCGCATCCCTCGTAGTTAATATTGGACCATTCTTTAACTTTGTTATCTCCTACCATTGCACATGGTCCCCTACCACCGAAACCAATCTTCTCAAACCCACTTCCGATCTTTCTGACACCTTGGTACTTCAACCCGTTGATGATCACGTGGAAATTATGAATCTTACTTCTTTCAATAAAGTATTCATTTGTTGGAAGAATATTTAAAATCAGTGACAATGTGTTGCTTGACAACCATACGCCATCTTGTATAGAGAAGAAATGTATAGACTCTTGTTTCCAGTCATTCAACAAACAAATTACCTTTTTAAAAAAATGTCTGGTTAACAGAGAATCGATCAATTGTCAGAATAAAGGAAATCAATAATAGAGTTTTAAATCAAACAATGGACGACTTCATTAAAATCGATTGCTTACAGGAAATGGCATTAAAGCTCTGGACAATACAAGCATTGTCTGATGCTTAGAGCCATATGATTGGCTCATTTTCATGCAGACGTGTCAAGAGCAAATCAAACACCGGATATACCATTCCGATTCGGATAGGTTTTGATTTGGTGAGATCCGTTTAAAGCTTACTGTTGTTTCCTGAAATCGATTAGATTTGATTGGGTTTATAACTCCCTATTCCCTAATACATCAGCTGGGAATGGACTTATAGTGCAGGAGCATAAACCAGCCTTGACTAACATGGCGGCCATCTCACAGACAATCCCATAATGTATCTACAAAGCAGGACCAAAAGGATGAAGCTTTGGGCTTACATGCTCACATCGCAGAAAATAGCAGACCTTAATATATATTTGTTATTCTTCAATTACAAACAGACTTTGATGTTGCCGGGAAGTTCAGGATGGTGGTTGGTGTAGGCATAACTCAGGACATCGAATAACTGGGGATCGTGCTGACTCAAGTAAGATCGAGCTTGAGCTTCAGTAGAACAAGGATGGGAAGTACCACACCTGAAATTCAAGCCAAAATTGTAAAGCACAAGGAAAGAGTTTACTTTTTCTGAACGGAACACCAAAGGCATCATTTATCGTCGGGTTAACACCGAGAGGAATAAGCGAAAACGTGATTAAGAAAAGACATCCCCAATTGGAACATTTAAATCTGTATTTCAACTTTGGTTGCAGAAGTCAACATTAGAAATGTGAAAAGAGAAATTTGAATCTGTATTTCCACTTCCGGTTAGTTTGGTTGCTACTTACATATTGGTACCTCCTGTGACGTCAGTTCTGGTTGTTGCCATGAAGAAAGCTTCAGTGGCCTCGGCCCAATATTCAGCTGAATTGGCTGTAGCGTAGACACCGGGTTTCCAGAGTCTGGCGTATTTCTCGTGACTGTATGCAGCATTGATCTACAGAGGGAAGACGTAGAAATTTTAAAGCGAAGGTCATTTGATTGACAAATGTCTGTTCAACAAACTTGAACATATTATGGATTGTCTTAAGTATTGATGTCACCAATTCCCAAAAATTAAAGATGATGACTTAGAGGTTAAGAATTCTCAGAAATAATCAATAACAGTAAGTGTGTCCTGAACTACCCACCTTGGATCTCCATTGTGAAGGCATGTATCCCATAACAAGATGACCGAACTCATGGACCAGGATGTTGTCGTTATGGTGATAGGGGTCATATCGATCACACATGACCACGTGATCTAAGACCACACTTCTGGAGTTGGTTAATCCAGCAATGCTTGACCATTTTCTGCCGTCGAATGTACAAGTATGGGCACAGCTTCCGGAACATCGACCTGAAGAACAACATACGCATATGACCTGCGGACAGCATTTGGGCGTTCAGAATGTGAATCGAGATGAACAAGTAGAAGCTTGTCTAGATAAGGATGAAGTGAAAGATGGTCCTACCTCTACATTGTGGGGTGTCAGCCAGATTGTAGTTCTCGGGATAGGCTGCCATAGATTCAGCCTGGGTGAAGATTCCCAGACCGTGAGATCGGCTGACACCATAGAAGACCTCGTATGGCATGTGTCGAACCATTAGGCTCACTCCATGAGCTGCCTGAAAATATTTAAAAGCATCATTTAGCACAAAATAATAGACCACAACAGCCTGGGACTAAAGTGGTATCCATGAGTAAGCTACTACAGCGCGGCATCATCTGGAACGAAATCCGAAGCTAGTTGATGTGTTCCTGTAAACATACAAGAGTGACCACTCCTCAGAACATAATCCAGAATAAGTTGCTACTTGCTGTTTGAATTTCTAGTTTGTATCTCTGGGTTTAGGGATGTCTGGTTCTTCTACAAGCCGAAATTGTGTCCCAAACTGGGTGGATTATTGCTTCTTCGAACAGGTTGTACATAAATGAACCAACAAGCTCGGGCCTTACCTTGTCCAAGGCTTGGTCGCTACATCGATGGGTGGCAGAGACGACGATATGGGCAGCGCTGGGTTTGCTGCTCACAACGGCCCCACCTTGTAAAACATATCGTTCTTTAAACGAGGCTCTCTTCAAGATATGAAGGGGGAGGGTGTAGCTGAAAATGAAATGTTATGAAATTTTACGTCCTACTTATCTTCATATATGATTAATGCTAAGAGCAGTCCTTTGTTGGTAATTTTCGCCAATGTGGCATGTGCCTCTGGCCGTATTGACCTCCACCGTCTGATGCCAATTCGTGCCACGGTCCTACAGAATGCCCAATGCCATACTGCTTTGTGTAAAAACAGAGAAAAGCGATGCGTTCAAACTTTAGGGAAACACCATCCCTACCACCTTTGTTCCGACGCCTTTGCCTTTTCTACTTACTTTTGATTCAGAAAGTCATACTCCTCTGGTCGAGGTGGAGGAATAGCCCATACTCCTAAAAATAATAAATTGATCCTGTGTAAGCCTGCTAGATGAGTTGTATGGTACTGTTGCAGGTCAACAATCATTACAAATTATCTGTAAGCAGGACATTGGACTCCAACTTGTTCAACATCGATCATCATCGAAAATACATTTTTTGGTAAAAGCGGACTTAAGTTAAAAATGGATCAGTTGTTTGATCCCTTTGCTGCCTAGAATGAATGGAAGGAGTTCATAATAGAGAACCAAGCCGGATTAGGGAAAGAACACCAACTTACCGGCAGCAAGTGCCACCAAAACCAGCGTTCCTATCATTCTTGTCCTGACGATATTTCTAAAGTGAGTAAACGGGTGACCGGGTCATACGAAACAGTTCAAAGATAAGGCAAAAAGGATTGTCAACTTTGAAAGCTATAATGTCATCCCAGTAATTTCATTGGTTGTTACAAAATTGGTTTGAAAATCAGCCAATCGATGAAAGGAACGTTCCTTCCATGACCAATCAGGTTGGACGCACCTGTTCCTCTGATAAATAATTTGGCAATGGAGATAAGATAGAAATTATGAATGGCCAGAGCACATTATATTCGAAAAAAGATTTCTACCATACTGCTCTAAAAGACGACCATCTGAACCAAACACTGCCAAAAGAGATGTTTAAACAGCCCTTTGTATCTGACTTCGAATAATGTTTTACTGCTCTGAATATTACGATCAATTGAGTCAATGGACACTGCCAAATGGAATGATCATACTGCCATGCTTTACTGGCTCCTCGTTATTGTCAGGATCCATTTAGATATTCAATGATAAAAATGTATTGTATAATTCCAATGATGAAAACTTGATTTGGAATTCACTGACTATCACCAGAAGACAGACTGACAGAAATAAATCAAAACACTCAGTAAAGTCCTGTATTTGTTTATTCAAATATTGATTTAGATACAAACACCAATATTGCCGGCTATTTCAGGATGGCTGTTGGTGTAGGCGTAGCTCAGGACCTCGAAAAGCTGGGGATCGTGATGCTTCAAATAGGCTCGAGTTTGAGCTTCGTTGGAACAGACGTGAGACGTTCCGCACCTGAAAAGATAAAATGGGTTTATTAATAAATACCTCAATAATATCATTGTCAGATTTATCGAAATCTGATGAAAAATTATCAAACAGACAACATTGGCGTTTGTGTACCACAAGTATGAACGGTTGATCTGCTGTTGCCACCGATGACGATGTTAAGGTGCTGATGATGCTGGTGCTGTTGATGCTTCTGCTACCGATGATGATAGTGATGATGGAGCTCTCAATGATGCTTCAACTCTTGGGTAGACCTCATTGTAATGAGTATTCTACCGGATGATAATGGAATAGTCTGTATCACTTACATGTTTGTTCCTCCAGTCACGTCAGTTCTTGTGGTAGCAAAGAAGAAAGCCTCCGTAGCTTCAGCCCAGTATTCGGCGGAATTGGCTGTAGCGTACACATTGGGTTTCCAGAGTCTGGCGTATTTTTCGTGAGTATAGGCAGCATTGATCTGCAAGCAAGGAGAACCTGTTACTACTAGATGAAATAGGTTTTAATGTAATAGTTTCTATGAAAAGTCTAGTTGTCTGAAAGTGTCAAAAATTGGGATGCCGAGACTGTGAGAAGATACGGACCAATGATGATGCTGTGCTAATGAAATTTTACAACGTAGCGTTGTGTTAATTACTTAATTGTCATTGATCCAGACAGGAAGTAACACTCCACTCCATTTACCTTATTTCTCCACTGTGAAGGCATGTATCCCATAACAAGATGGCCGAACTCGTGGACGAGGATGTTGTCTTGGTGATGATAGGGATCGCGACTATCACATAAGACGACGTCGTCCAGGACGACAGCTCTAGAGTTGGTCAATCCAGCGATGGAAGAGAATTTTCTACCATCAAAGGTACAGGTGTGTGCACAGCTTCCAGAGCATTTACCTGTAAAACGAAAGGACAATACAAAATTACCCTCAAAGATATGAGTTGCATAGTGATAGCATGTGCCCCTGAAGAATGATAATTAGGCTCCCACCATAGTAAATAGACCCTCAGAAAATATTTTGAGTTTGCAAAGTGGCAGCATGTGCTGCTGAAGAGCCGCAATAGAAATTATCATTGCAAAGCAACAATGAGAAATTTCTTTTTTGGCCAACGTACTTTAAGAAACCTATTTAGTACATAGATTCAGATATTTTGAGAACGTTCCAAACTTCAAGCAATCGTATCACAAGAAATCGTGTTGTACCTTTACATTGTGCAGTATCGGCAAGGTGGTAATTCTCGGGGTAGGCTGCCATGGTCTCTGCTTTGGTGAAGATACCAAGTCCATGTGATCTGCTGACTCCATTAAAAACTTCAGTTGGCATGTGGCGAACCATCAAACTTATTCCATGAGCTGCCTGTCAAAATAAGGAAGATAGTAAGACAATATTTATAGACTAGACTAGACTCTACAAAAAACAAAAACTATCATCAGAAAGAAAACGCCGTTCTTAAAAAATGGTCTACAAATAACTGAAGTATGAGATATCTAAATACTCAGTGCTTAATGACCACTCTCTGCCAGATAGACCCATGTAAAATTATTAACCGCTTTTTTGTTAGAAGTAGAACTCAAAATTAGCAGATGTGATTATCTCACCTTCTCCAAAGCGTTATCTGAACAGCCGTGGGTAGCAGACACCAAGACATAGGCACTGCCTGGACGGGTCCTGACCACGGCTCCATTGTGAAGTACGTATCTTTCTTTGAAAGATGCTCGCTTCTGGATAGGCGATGGTAGATCGTAGCTGTAACCGAAATAATTAGACATACGTCCAAAAATACAAGACTTGGGGCCTTGGAAGGATGAGTTAATACGCATCTGACTCGTGGACATTTGGCTGACTGACTGCTGAACGTCAATAGGTCAGACCAAACTTAAAACTCATTTGGGTTGATGCAGAAATCTTGGATAATAGGCGTATTTCATTGGTCCAATATGGTCTTCGAGTTGTCGAACAATGGAGAATTGACATAAGTCCAATATTGTATTCAGCTGTAGGGCGTATAACTTTGGGCAATAATGTACAGAATTATGGGACTTGTGCAATGCTTTATCAACAAAGTAATACAGTATGCAAGCAAACACTGATTAATTTCTAGGACTTGTCGACTTACTCTTGGTTGAGGAAGTCGTATTCTTCTGGTCTAGGTGGGGGAATACCCAATACTCCTAAAATAGAAATGGAACGTAGTTTTGCGTCTTTCTATAGAGAAGTCATCTTCAAATGGACATGATGTACAGAATTGTAGTCTCAAAAGCTCTGACTTAACATAAGAATTTTCTTGCTTACAGGACACTGCACTGAATCAACGAACGAACAACCAAACTGACAAAAAGTTGACGAACCGGAAATGACGACCACCAAAATCAAAACTTCCTTGATCATGCTCCGTATTGTTGTGTGCATCGTGTAAAATCGGTAAGTTTGCCTTTTTATTGAGTATTAAAGATAAGCCCGGTCATAACCGCTATACCTAATCTTCTTCTGAACCAATTAAAGCGTTTTCATTGGTGGAAGGTTTACTACAATATGAGCTGTAACAAATAATATTGTAGGATTTCCAAACTAATGTGGGCCTTAGTTTGAGATTTGACTTAAGAAATGATTACAAGATAAGACATTATGCTGATTCATACAGATTATATGTCAACTTGTGGGTTGTAATGAACGTTGCAAGCTGCCGAACATAGATAGCTAAAACAACGACAAGCCGACGATGATATTAAACCGTAATTCAAATAGTGTTGCAATTTGCGCGGATACTTTTTGCGAAATGGTAGTCGCGAGCTCTAATCTTTATCAGTTGTAGAAAGACTGATGACCTCGAGAAGGTTGTCTTGCCCAAAAAACTGATGACCTCGAGAAGGTTGTCTTGCCCAAAAGACTGATGACCTCGAGAAGGTTGTCTTGCCCAAAAGACTGATGACATCGAGAAGGTTGCCTTGCCCCATTTATTTAGTCAACCAGCTAAAAATGAGCCTTGAATAAATCATTATTACTCAGTGTTCCAGTGCACCTTGATTTAACAATTCAACTCCCTTTGATGTTATATCCAAAACAGTAAAAAATGCGACCAAGGATTGCTGGATAAGATAGAATGAGTATTTAATTATATATTCTGAAACTGGAGGATGATGACCTGAAATACTTTCAGTAACTAATTGTTGTCTTATTCACGACTTGGTTTAACTCAGTTACTGCCCTTGAATTGTATTTACGACACGGGGCTTTCACAAGACGTGAACACTCTCTCTGACTTCATCCGCCATAGTTTGATTCCATGTAGAACAAATTGATTTTCTGAATCCGTACAAATTACAATACTCTGAAAGTTGTATGTTATCGTTTCAAGACAGAGAATAATGTTTTGTCAGTTGGTTTAGAATTTCCGCCAAGGGAGAAATAAAAAATTAATTAGAAGTCATGTCAGGTTACTTTGACTCAGATCATTGGCTTTTTCCATTTTCGAACTTGGAACATTCAAAGTAACAATATCTGGACGATTTGGACATTTGACATAGGTCTATTTATCTGAATGACTAACTGACATATGAGCAAAGTTGTGACGACTCGTTGATTTACAAACTGACTTATTTACTCACAGACTAGCTCATTGACTCACAGACTAGCTCATTGACTAGCTCATTGGCTCACAGACTAGCTCATTGACTCACAGACTAGCTCATTGACTAGCTCATTGACTCACAGACTAGCTCATTGACTCACAGACTAGCTCATGGACTCACAGACTAGCTCATGGACTCATAGACAGACTCATTTTAAATAATTAAAGAATTGCCTTATTGGCAATAGCAATATCTGGTGGAAGGAGTAATCTCCTTAGCAGTCCTACCACTTAGTAATTCTGATTGTTCCCAGACAATGCATGTTTCTTCGTAAACAAATATCTATCGCTATTCCGCGTTTACTGTTATTCTATTTTTAAAAACTCGACTAGTCATTGGACAGATAATCGAGGTCAATTGGGTTGAAAGGTCAAGGTTAATATTATTGAGTGGGACATACTAGATTGACGAAACGAAAATATGGAAAATGAATAACGAATCGACGGTTAAAATGGATAAAGAGAAAGCTCTCGACTGGATATAATGAAGAGAAATGTGATATATGCCCTAGTGATAGTTGTTATTGCCCTGGTATATTCAGCATGTGGGAAGGAATCGACTAAGCGTTATAAAGGTGAGATTAAATCGACTTTGTTCTCGTCTACTCGTCGCTTTATATTAACTATTTACACTATACGCTGTATTGGTTGTAGTCTCGCCGTGTAATCATGAATTATGTGTGAAATAAATTTAGCCTACTGAAAATATCACCCTATGCATTCGCCGAACAGGTTTTGAACTTTGTTTTTGGGGTTATATGTGGTCTCATCGAGTGTATTCGCAAATATGTGTTTAAGAGTTTTAGAATACTGAGAATTTCATCCTTTCGGCCCTATATTTTCATCACTTCATCTTTTTAAGCTCAGTATTGTGTCTCAGTAGTTTGTTAAGTGAAAATGTTACGTTTCTTTTCATACTGATCGACATTGCTATATGTACCACAAAAACGAAGCTGAAATATGTCCTACTTTTGGATTGTTACTTTCTACTCGTTTATATTATATAATAAACTAACGAAATAAGGCACATGATTCTGTCAGGTCCGGAAAAGTAACACGTAAAGAATTATTTTGTTGTATTTCTGAAAAGTGATTCCGTCTAATCGGAAGCTTATTTTTTTTTCAGATGAGTCATTCCCGGATAGTCTGGAGGTATTTAATAGAACTATAGCGTGTGGGGATCACACCCCTGGTAGCTTCCCCTCCAAAACATGGACTTGTGCCAACATCAGGTATGCTTCCAGTCAGTGGCGGAGCCAAAGGGGGGACACTTTTTTTCATGTGTATTGGGGACAATACAAGCATCGATTCAATCTATTCCAATTTCCAATCAGACGTCTGTGGCTCTTGTCATTCCTCTGTAACTAAGCGTTTTATGACGTCACTATCACAAAGGGCCTTAGATATTATTAGCAGCTTTTGAAACAGTGACGTCAGGGTTTTTGTTAGGTGAAACTAGTTAGTTATGCGAATGACATGTCGAGTTGACAAAACCCACGTAAACATTAAGTGTAGTCTCATAAAAAAGTAAATCGATATGAATATAGTTATATAATATTAAAGAAAATATTATAGATACTTCTTTCAATGCAATATCCACAGTTGTTAAGTTATTCTTAATTTGAGATCTTTTTTTTCTACTCGAGGTCGAGTGATATAACAGATCTTTGAATATATGAGGGCTAAATTGATATTACAAGCCTTTTTGTGGGTTAAATGCTTTGAACATGATTTTTTTTTATTATAGTGTTGATGGAAATCGTCTAGCGTTTGGATACAGTGACATAAGCATTGGTGAATGTACGGATACAAAAGGCAAACACGAGTTCATGACTTTGTGTAAGGAAATGCTGAAGCAAATCGATATCTATAATCCAATATGGTCGGTTTATGTAAGTTATTATTTTTAAGAATAAAGGGGGGAATAACAGAAAGTGCTTAATACAATTTAAAAAACGATGGAAGCTAACTCTGGGCATTCTGTGAAGAGCAACATGTTAACAATATTGTACCAGCATCACTGCCTCTTTACTAAAAATATCATACAAACAGTGCGGTTGAATTGGAACAGGATATAAAATTAACAACGCATGCGCATATTGATAATTAACTTCCGTTTCTTTCAGGTACCAAAACCCACTTGCAAAAAAGATCTAAACAAAAGAGCAATACTGGTTAAAAAGGGAAAGAAATATATATGGGAGGATAAAGAACCAGGCAAAGGATACGTGTTGATTCTACAGTGTATGATTCAAATATAACCTTGACCTTCCGGACCTTGACCTTTCGGCGCCTTGGCCTTAATTTAAACCGAAAAGTCGCTGTTGTTTCTTTTTTAATGTATATGGATTAATAACTATGCCCTTTTAATGCTAATAGAACCAGAGATCACGAGAGACAAACAAAAAATGACTTATATCTTTAACGTTGTTCTTATGACCTTCACCTCTTGAGAGCTTGAACCTTGGCCATTGATCGAATGACTTTTTAAAGACCAGTGGTATAAAGTATCGGTATGGTTTCTTTTAACGAATCGGGTTCTTCCTTATTTTTTGTTGTTGTAGTGTTATTTACTTGGCATGTTTTGCCTTAATGTTGTGTTAAGTTACCTTGAACTTGTGGTAGCGACCTTGAACTTGTGGTGGCAACCTTGAACTCATCTTATCATTCCCATGTCGTTTTGTGAGACTGTAAAACATCATCGAAATCGCAATAAGTCTTATTCAAAAGTTTATTCAATTTGAAACTTGAGAAATTTGGTCTTCCTTTTTATCAACTGGACTTTTGTGATAAAAACTGTCTCGTGGATGACGGAGTACAACATGAATTTATTGAAAGCAATAAGTGTATCCAAACAGAGTATATTTTGTCATTCCGTATAATTTGGGTAGTTAATCATTTTATTGAAATACTTGATAATGATGAAATAATAGCCTTTACGGATAACCTCCCACTTTGATTTTAGTTAATGCTAGGCCAGGCCAATCCAATATGCTGGTTGGGGTTGTTGGTGTGGGTGTCGCGACTATTATACTTATCCTAACTTGTCAGAGGGGGTCGAGAGTGTACTTTATTTAAAAGTTTATCAAAGTGGTATCTGCACACTGTATATGAAATCTATGCAGCAGATAAACGCACACCCATTAAACTGTTGCCATTATAGGGGAATTTTGTGGAAGTTTGCCACCAGCTATGCTAGAAATATAGAGAAAATAGCAGTAGTCTGGATTAAATGGGTAAATATAGAGTTATTCCCCCTCAATATAAATTAACAAACTTGATGTGTATTCATTTATTACATCGGTATCCAATGATGCAAGAAAAAGTCACTGAAATCCGCACTAAATTCATTACGTAGTTGAGAATTCGGTACAACGAAATGTCGGAAGTATATCACAGTTCCGTTGGCGAGAAACGCAGACCACCACGAAAACGTACCGACCGTTGTAATTGAGTGGTTCATCGACGTCAGGATCGCAAAATCGACTTCTCTTTCGTTTCCGGTCATAAAGATCGCGTCGTTTTTTCCCTCCAAAGCAGTTTTCGTCCATTTCATATCGTTAGAGCAGACGATGAAAATAACGTGCGGGTACCTATCACGAAAATATTGCATACTTCTGAATATATAATGTTTTGGTGCAGTTCGATATCCGTACAACTTCTTTACCTTTTTTATATAATCCCCACGTCGGACGTGCAACCCGACAAATACCAAATCGTCTGGCACTACGTCACCGATATCTCCATAATGCCTGGCAACGCTTTGACGTAGAATTTCAGTTCCCTTGTCCATAAATGGTTGCCTGATGACGTATTGCTGTCTGATGTCATTGATGACGTTTTCAAAATATTTCCAAGACTGGAGAAAATTTCTTATCCTGTAGTCTCGATTTGGCTTAAAATCATACACATGTGGGTCAAATCGACATGGCTTTTCTTCCACGATAACTTTCCTCCGGCTACATTCACACACGTGGTTGTAGGTCAAAGGTGGAGGTCGCATGTCAAATAAAGTCAGTATATAGCTCCTCCGATCAATCACGAGACCCATACCTTTGGATTTTGCGATCCCATAAGCGGAAGCGTACTGAAAAAGGTGATTTCCAAGTCCCCCTTCAAAGTAGATACACAACGTATGCTGTGGCCATTTTAAAACTTCTTCCCGGACGGCGATTGGTGAGTGAACCTTTGGATACATCCGGGAATTTAACATGGCGATCAGTCCAAAATTGAAGATGAGACTTATTACTAGCAGTCCTTTTTGGAAATCTGAAACAGAAATGATAGCGGATTAAGCTGGGTTTGCAAACTAACTGCACCAACAGGACACTATAAACAGCATCCATCCGTAGAAGGACATAGTAGTGACAGTTTTAAGACATCCATACCATTTTTACTTGGGGAGATTCTCTGTTTTGAATACAACTAATGCAGCAGTGGTATTCAAAGTACGTGTTTTCAACAACGGGTCTCGTTATTTGTAAACAACTTACATGGATCGCTGATGCTTTGAAGTATTTTGGACTGAGCATGTTGAACTCTTTCATGATTGACCCAATTCTGAAGACTCTCCTTGAAGTTTCTAAGATGTTGTAAAATTCCAATTGAGTTCCACCATTTTGCCCAATTGTATGAATCTGTTAAGGTTTGGTAAACTTTGTCTCGAACAGTGTCCATCTTGGGCGCGTTCGAAATTCATGGTTGGGTTATTTCGATTGAAAGCGCGTATATTCCGCATCAATTGCTTTTACGTGCCTAGGCGCGTTCGAACATCTACCCCAAGAACAAAATATAGCACACGCTGTTCGTCTGAAAGAGGTATGTATTTCATTTAATTAAAAAATTTGCATGTGCATTTATTCCCATGAGTTCAAAATGCCAAGAGGATATTGCTCCTGCCTTCTTTGAATGTTTTATCAAGTTTTATTTCCGAGATATTTATATACAGTCCGTCTCAATCCCAACAAGAGTTTACTCCCTTGAATTGAGAAAATTAAAACTTTGAAATATATTTACTCATCCACCTAGTTAGTACCATCCTTGAATTGTCTAAAATCTTTAAAAATAATTTGAAATATGGCCCACTTCGGAAGTAATGAATTCAAATTTGTTATAATCGTCTTCAAATATAGGTCATCGCATCAATATTTTTTTCAAATTTGAATATGTTCGAAATGCAAACAGAGATTGTAACCCATATGTGACATCCTACAGCATCATTCAAGTCCAGGATGAACTCGCATTATCTGAAGTTTGACTGTATGAAATTATTATCTAATACTCAACTGATAGCAACTGGTACTTATCAACGGTTATCTCCCTTACTAGGTTACGTTATCTGTGTTTAAACAATGGCGGGATTAAGCGGGTAAAGATCGTTATCACGTTCTGTTTGAAAACCAAACAATGCATTGATAATGGCTCTATATTTGTTTAGACGTATCTGAAGATTTCCAGTGCCGTCTTTAAAAACCAGGAAGACGTCCTTGTAATAGTAAGGATGTAGGACTATCTTGTCACAATGTCCTGGGTTAGTGTCCCATGTCTGTAGTGTTCATTTGATACACTAGCGCATTTTGGAGATATTTTTCAAAGCCTGGCAATAACTGTTTAGGTGCAATAACACGGCAAATTGATTCCCATGCCAAGGGGTTAACAAATTTGACAGTTAAAACGTCAAAGATGCCAGCCATCTGACGCACTTGTTGCTCCACCTATGATTGATGTCTGCACATCTGCATCATGTCAGCGCACGTACTTTTCATGCAACTTGTAAAAAAGACGGCAAGTGTGAATAAAACTATCAATTGAAGTCTAAAATTGGGAACAAAAATATATATCAAGGGCTCCTACTTTGAATAAAAGCCATATTTTTCTCCATTTAACCGCAGTTTTATGTCTTCATGCTGTGTGGTCGTATTGGTGGTTTTACTTCTTTTTGCTCTTAACAATACTTATTCATTGAACGAACAATTTAAAGAAAATTTGAGTTTGAAATTTAAAAAAAAATGGCAGACGATAACAATAACAAGAAACAGAAAGAAGTAATTGAAAGACATGAAACATCTTGCTTGACTCAAAAACATGGAGAGACTGTCGGATCGTTAAAAAATCATCGACATTATCACATGTTTAATTATCAAACACTCCTGAAGAAGTCGTTCACAATCTTATTCTAATCCGTTATCGGCCATTTTGAATGATACGGTTGATATAAAATATAGGATTGTAGATAAATTTTCCGAGACGAAAGAATAATTATCAAAATTATCAGGGTTTTTGTTTAGTGTAGTGAATGTAGAGCCTATCTAACAATGATTAATATAAAGACCATATTTTATAGCTATTACGATAATTCCCAGCCATTCTTGATATAAATATTTCAAATTATACTTATATATTTTAGTTCACCGGTCGCACGTCGTACTGACGACGTCGTACGGTTGTTGTTACAAACGACGTGCGACTAGTAATAGTTTTTGATTGGATTACACTACTTATATACTATGATATGCCTTGACGCTTTATGTCACAAATTGTTGGGATTAACGTCATCTTGACTTGTGCTTTACGTCATCTTTACGTCACATATTTAATGACGTCATAGCTGTATGTGTTTTTGCTAAAATTGTGTTGATGACCTTGTGCTATTGGATATGTTATACATGGATTATCGCTTGGATTTTAATGTCGTTACTTTGGTTACAATTTCTTTGGATTTACATAAGATGGAGATACTCCTTTGTAGAGTAACTATCCGAATGATTGTTCTTTGATTTCAGATTTTAAAAAATTGGATTGTATCTATTATTGGATAGTGCAATAATGGCAAATCTATTCTATTTCGGGTGTGGGAAGTCACATTTTCTGCAGTGGTTCACGCACTGTATAGAAATGCATAACTTGATTAACCTAATCATGTTAAACCGGAAGTGGTGACAGATGATGAACCAGCTCCTCTTGGAAAAAGAGATGACAGATCCAAAAGAACGACATCCACCTGCTGTTAAAGTAATGCCCAGATCAGCTCCAGGGGCAAAGCGACTTCCGCTTACAATCATGCACGGGGGCGTCTTGTGAGATATTTGCCGGAAACCATCAGATATACCTCCAGATAGTTGCAACAAGATGTAGTGATTACGAAGAGTAATTTTGAAGTCGATGATCAAGATATGTAAAAGTTGACGTTTTACATCAGATTCTGAGGAACTGTCGGTGTTGTTACTGTCCATCAAATACAATTCTCTACAGAGAATAGCTAGCTGCTGTCGAGGGAGGTAGGATACCTTTTTGTTCTCTTTTCTAATGTCTGCTTCGGAAAGACTTTGTTGGATTTTAGCTACGCTAGGGTAGGCATCTCTTTCGGAAACTCCAAATGGCTTGTTTAGTTTGTATTTTAGATTTTTCACATCTTTTTCATTATATGTATGCACGTTACTTTGATAGTTTTGTGGAATTTTGTGATTTGCTACAATCTTGTCCAATACGTCCCCAAAGGCCCCTCGTGGTCATAGAATTAGGTCACGTTGAAAATGCATGTGCATATTGACGTCAAGGACCACTTTTTCATATCCTCTTTATTTTTGTTCATTGATCAGTTGAGTTAGGGTTAGTTAGTTGATGAAAAGGACATCATCGCCCTTAAAAACGCGTCATTTTTCTAAATTAAATAAACAGTCGGCTTCTTGAAAAATTTGAAATCTGGGTTCTTATCTCTGAAAACGAAATATTTGTTTATAATAAATGCCTATCAATATTTAGGAATATTTTTAAACAGCGCTTGATATTTACTAACACATATCTTCAATATATACACAAAATACTCGCATTAACTTCTATCTTTGAATGCACGTGCTGTTATCTCTAACCTCGCGAGATTCGTGCCGAGAGAGATAGCCGAATATTTTGACAGAATCAGTAAATATTATGGAATGGCGAAAGTCAGCGAAACGAAATGATTTATTTTGACAAGGAAAATGAAATAAAAGTCAATGTGTGATTCCAAGTAGGGCGTCGATAGACATTTATTTTTTACTTACCATACGTCTCTTCTCACCCCAGCCAGTATATATCACTGATAACGCCCGCTCGTGAGCCCCTCGTGGAGATCATTCCATTTTATTGATATATCAGAAATTTATCTGCTGCTGATTCTATGATGGATTAAGGTCTTTAGACATACGTCGAATTTATGGTACCCTTTTTCCCAATTAGATTTGAATATTGTGAGAAAGATGTTCAATTCGAAATCATCTGTTTGGATTTTTTGAAACTGATTTTAGAGGCAAAATATTTAACTAAGAAGCATTCTTACTTCAAATACTGTAATATGTAATGTCTTTGTGATCTGTTATTTGAATGATATTGCAACAGTTCAGTTCAAAATAAAAAAAAACTAATTTAGGTCTTTGGAGTCGTATTTTTGGTTCAAATTAACATTTTATAGAAAAATTCATATGAGACATGTTTATGTGATATTTTTTACAAAAAAAAAAAACAAAAAATTAAAGAACATTCTTTGGCATAAAAAACTAAAAAATGTGAAATATGAACAACATTGACACTTTGTAAAATAAACTGAGAAAAAAATAACGATAAATATATTTAAAAAATTCACATATTTAAAATCACACAGCGGGGAGCACGGCGTGGAACTGTAGTGACACACGCGACCCGAATATTCACATAACTTTAAAAACCTTCCATAATATTGTTTTTAAAAATATTTCTAAGTTATCTCACCAATCTCTAAGTTAATCTTACAAAATGTAGAAAAAATGAAACCAAGATAAGACTAAGTTGGCCTCCCCGCCGTCAAATTTTTGAAAAGATAAAAACTAAAATATAAAGCGTCTGTTTATCCTGCGATCTTAATTTATGTTGAAGAGTCTTGGTGTTTTATATGTTTATGCTGTATATATTATTCCTAACATTAACTTATTGTTCCAACAAATACGTCAAGTTATGGTTGGTTGGTTAACGTTCGTTTCCAGTGGATGCTGATATCGCAAACTAGGTAGTTGTTGGTAGTTGTAGTAGTTGGTAGTTGGATACGTGAAGTTATTCTCTTTGGTCACTTTTATATTCTTGAAAACTGTACTTAAAATGATTTTAGTGTTCCAGACATTTGATTCGTCAATCACTAAAATTGATTTTAAATTCGGTTTTATTATCAAGGAAATAAGGTGGAGTTCTACG